GGACAGTGGAGCTTTGCTGAGTCCAGCCAGTTGTTTCTGGACATAAAAGGAGTGGTCTTTGCAGCCTCTACAGTCAAACCACCCAGCCACCCAGGTGCCTGAGAGCAAAGCTTGGGGAAACTCCATCCACCAAACCTTCCTAGGGTCTCATGATGACTAAACCTTCTCCATCATAAACACAGCATAAAAATAACTTAAGGGTGGGGTGAAAGGGTTCGTTTCTCTCAGAATTCTCCAAAGGAAAGAAAGGTATAACAGAAACACACTGGACCCATCAAAAAAAAATACATAAAATTACCTATACAAATTGCGAACAGCACAATTTTGCTTCTTCAGCCACAGTACAAAAACTGCAAGTTTTTCATCCACATAGAGAACAAAAACAAAGAAAAAATGATCAGCACTCTGGTATTAATCAATCCATGATGATACTTTAATTGCGCATCTTTACCTAGCTGATATGCTGTCCCCTAGTCCCCAGCAGTAACTTGTCATCAAGATTTCTGTTAACTTCACATCTCTTGTATCTTAGAGATTCAAGAAACAAGTGTCATGCTCTCTGGCATCCTAATTTCTGACCCTGAGCTTCCATCCAAGACTCCTGGGATTCCCCTCACTTCTTCATGCCTTGCCAAGGTAAGTGAGGAGGTTATTCGATGTCCATCTTCAAAGATCCTTCCTGTTCCACAAACCCTCTGGGTCCATCAGGTTTTCCACAGGCTCGAGGCATGGGCATCTTTTGCAAGATGGTCCTGACTGCCTGGAAGCACCATCTATCACTCTCTGAGGACTCGACTTTCCAGACACACATCAGGAAGCAGGGCTCATATTCTATCTGCTCGTAGCACCCCTAGATCTCTCTCTCTCTCTTCTCCGAATCATTCTCTCACAACCCAAGGATAGATTATTTATTTATTCATTCATTCATTTTGGCCTGGGGAAAATTCTTGCCCTCCAACTTTCTTCAAAACACATAGTCTGTTGGCTCAAAATCCCCTTGCCTTACCCCCAACCTCCCAAAAACTCTCTTTTTGAAAAACAAAAGTTAGAATGGCTTCGTGGCTATTTTCAGCCCTTAGGCATTGACCCTGAGGCACTCTACTAAGGCAGTGAACAGAAGGCCAACAAACAGCCTGCTCTCCTGGAGAGAGGGCATGAGAGAAACAAATGCATATCTCAAATATCCAGCCACACTCGATAAACACATTTTTATTCTCTTTTTCGTCACCCAAGATTTTTGCTGTGGTCAGTTGTGATTTCTTTCTTGGTAAATGACATTATTCAAAAGAAATGTCATAATAAAAATTTCTCTTTTGTTCCTCCCTCAATACCTGTATTTCTCCAGCAGCCCCATCCACATCTGTCCCTCCTGTCCTCTCCTATCACCACCACTTCCAAGCCTGGCTCACACGTTCCAAGAGAAGCTGGCCAGAATTCAACACTGACCTCCTAGTCAAGAGAAATAATAGTACCAAAGGCAGTAGCCCAAGTGGCCACATACACCCCCAAAACATTTTAGCCTGTAATGCCCATGTCCCCACCCCTGCACCTGGCCCAAGTCTTTACCTTATGTGAGCACGTTCTAATTCCCACATCCCAAAATACCCTTTTAAGCCTTCATGTTACTTGGATTCTCTCTATAAAAGATGGCCACTCCTTTCTTAAAACTCTCTTCTTCCTAGACTTGGTTTGAGCAGTGCCCAACCTGGCTTTCCTCTTCCTCCACTGCTACAGCCTGCCTTCCATCTATCCTTTGATTGCTAATGCTCCCCAAGGTTGTCCTCGGCCCCCTTCTCCATTTACATGCCCTCAATGAGCAATCTCAATCTCTCTCAATCCTGTAACTCCTACCAAATCTCAGAAATTCCCAAAACATTCCTTCTCCCTCCCCCCACCACCTCCTCTGTCCTCTCTTCTTCTCCCTTTTTGATTCCGGACACATATATGCCTGTTGACTGTTTAGCCTAGAAAACAAAAAGCCAGAGAGGATAGACAGCTAATTTCCCATATTTGAAAGAAAGTCAGGACCACAGAGCAGACCAGGACTAAATGGGGAGATTTCAACTCAATACAAGGGAGAATGTTCTAACAAACAGCACAGCCGGCAATGGATGGGCTCCTTCTGAGGTAGGGAGCTCCCTGTGACTGGAAGTGGGTTGAGAGGATTCTTGCGCATTGTACAAGGCCCAGATAAGCAATATCCATGTTCCCCCTCCCTATTCTAAGATTGATACTCCTCAGCTCTGCATTCGAGATTTGGATACAATGAAGAATTTCTTTTCATTTTGGTGAGTACTTAAAATTACAATTCTTCATTACAGGACACTGGTTAGAAATCACTCTGATAGTTCTTTTTTATTCTATTACTTTTTTAAGTAATCATGATTTGCTGTTTATCAAATAATTTGTATTACAAATTCATTTGTCATACACTCTAGTTTTCAGAGAACAAAATTTACTTGGTCATTGAGTGAACTCTTTTTTTAACTTCTTTAAAAATTTTATTTTATTATTAGTTTCAAGTATACAGTACATTGGTTAGACATTTATATAGTTTATAAAACAATCTCCCTGATTGCTCTTTCTCTTTCTCTCCTCTGACTAGCATTAATGTAATGGCTACATTACATTAATGCTAACTGCATTCCCGATGCCATGCTCCCCATCCCCGTGACCATCTCTCTACCAATTTGTACTTGATTGAAGTCTTTTAATGGCTACAAAGCTTACTGTTTCTAGACATGTCTGTGTTCTAATCCCATACACTGCTTTAAAAAATAATAGAAAAGCAATCCTAACTAAAGCTTAACCTGATTTAACACAAAGACTTTTTAAAGGTTCTTCAAATACCTTATTCTTCCTTCATCTCCAGTTTAGGATGTTATCAGTCACCCCTAAATACAGCCGAAGCATATACTGAACCATTACTGAATTGAATTTGTGCCAATATTTACTGAATACTTTCATGCTGGGCTCCATCCAAGCTATGAAACAGGGATGCTGAGGAGTAAGACGTGGCCCTCCACTCAGAGTTCTCACCCTAAAGAGGGAGGCAGACTCGGAAGCCAGTGATTGCCGCAGAGTGAGGCAAGTGTTGTGATGTTTGACAGAAAGCAGGGATGACGAGGCAGAGGAGGCAACTCTGTCTTTGAATAACACCTTGTCTTTAAATACCTAATTGTAAAATCTATATTAAAATAACAAAAATATAAAAGCAAATTGCCTACACCTCTATCAAATTGTTCTCATTTATCCATATTAATCTTTACCACTTGCATACGTAATTTTTCACATTTGCAATACTAGAGTAGTTTACGATCTATATTTTCAATTATATCATTAGTATTTTTCTATTTCACTACCTTTTTCCCTTACTCTCACTTCATCCCCTTGAGATAACCAATGTTCACAGCCTAGGGAGTTATCCTTCTACATCTTTCTCTATTCAACCTAGGAGGGGCACCAGAACAGTCTTAAGTCAGAACTCCTCCTTTTCCTGTTATCCTGACCTACCCAACATTCAGCCATAAAAACCCTTCTAATGTCTTTATTTTTAACTCTAAGAGAATAGTCTTCCATGTCCTTGCTCCAGAAGACCCTATTTCCCTCCCACTACACTACTTTGCTGCAAATAACCAGGCGAAGCAACCGCTATGATTAACTTTTAAAAAGCAAGAGCATCCTAGATTCACAACTGCTTCATGAATCACAAACCACAGCAGCTTGTGAATATTCTTTGCTGTTACTTATGCACAGATGCTTTTCTTTTTCTTTTTAACGCCTACAGCACCTGGTCTTCCTAGATGGTCTCCCATCCTACTAATAACCAGGCCCAACCCTGCTTAGCTTCCGAGATCAGATGAGATCAGGCGCGTTCATGGTGGCATGGCCGCAGATCCACCGGTGCTTTTCATACTATTTTTCTTCCTTCCCTCCGACACATTTGTACTCTCCCCACCTCGTGATTCCTGCTCTTACTGTTTTAGTTTACACATGGGCCAACATAACCTGTCAATAACACAACCTTTCCATTCAGCAATTCTGTCATCCTCCTCAAACCCCCAACATTTCTTGGCTCAGTTTCTCAAGTTCACCTTATCACACCAGACATACTCATTTTCATGCCAGGCTTATCGCCTATGACATTGGGAGGAAAAAAAGAACAGTATGGTGATATGGTCTATGACTGTCCCTTCAGCAAGGACAGTAAAAGGAACATTTTGTCTCCCTAGGACAGCCTTGGCCATGAGCCCCCTCACAACCAAAGCCTGCTCACACTTTGTAGGGCCGCTGAAAAATAGTTTTAACTGCTATGGAGTTGACTCAGACTTCAGATCTGAAACTTTTTCTTGATTCTGTTTCAGTAAGGAGGCAATGAGGTAAGAAGCAATTCTTCAGTCTACCAAAAAGGCAAAGGTGACTTAGTCTAATACATCACAGACCTGCCAAGGCATGGCCCCCAGATCCCGCCTGTGGGCTCTCACAGGCAGGGCCAACCAAGAGAAGAGACTTCAGTCTCCTGTAGATTTAGGTCCCAATTCTGCCATATCCTGACTGTGTGATCTTGGAGAGGTCAAAGTTTTGAGTCTTATTTTCCTCATCTCTACAATGAGGTAAATTTTTCGAAAACGGTGACTTCATATAAGTAAGGATTAAAACATTAAATAGAAAATAGTTTAAAATTTTCATGCCAATTGAGGTTTCTACAATTGCTCGTTTAATTCATTTACCATTTAGTTTTCCAGCCTACAGAAAGTCCGTGCTAAGTAAATGGTCAATTTTCCATCAACAGGAAAAGAAATCTGCCACAAAGTCACCAATGTCTCTTAGTTTCCAATCTCTGGCCGATAGATTAAAACAGTATTTTCTTTCACAGATTAGTTTTAATTTCCAAGTGCTCCAATCCTTAAAATTTAAGTTGGGGTCTTTAAATGAAGGAGTAAGGTTTTGCCCAGAAATACCTAATTAAAATAAACAGAGGGGGGGAAAGACAATAATAGCACAATGATTTTTTTTCTACCTTTATTTATAAAGAACACAAGTCCTCCTCCTGACACAGACACAAATGCTCATACATCCAAGGGGGGAGCTCACTAAAAACAATAACAACAGAAGGAGAAGACAGTGGGAACTTACTTCACACCAATCTGTGTGCTTGACCCAGGGATCACTGGGAATATTTCCTCAGATATGACATCTCACCTCAAGAAAGGAAGAGAGACCTTGAGCTGAAGTTCCACCCACCCACCAGGCAAAAAGCTGCGCACTCAGTCTTCAGCATCATCAAACTGTCCCGTTTCAAAGACCATCTTGGAATAATGGGGTATCAGTGGAGGTGGATGGTGCCAACTGGGGTCATAGATCATATCTCCTTGCGGGGCACAGCACACCCACGGTTTGACCTCTTGAGAAATGCAACCTTGGATGTCATCAGCATCTGCAGGCAATTTTAAAAGACAGATTAAAGGAAGGAGAGAAGGTGAAAACGAATAGCCAAAAAATGTCTAGGGGCAGACACTCGCATTTTGTTTAAAAATACACACACACAGAGTTCTCCTTTCCTGAAGAATTGCAAGCAAGTTCTTTCTGAGGCAACCCACAGTTGTGCTTCTCAGCCAAGGGCTCTTAGCAGTGCAGAGGAAGCAACTGGATAACAGAGCACTTCTGTCTGCAGCTGCTCAATTCACACAAAGATATTTGGAAGTAACACTGTTGCATTGTCAAAAACTGATACATTATAGAGTCAAATACAAAATTTCCACGTATTTTTTTTCCAATATGAAAAACCAGCTGTCACAGGAATTGCAGATCTATAACAGGTATCAGGCTAAGCTTCAGGTGTGGGTCCCTCTTCCAAACCGTCTGCCTCTAGGGTTAATAGGGCAGGAGAATCTCAAATCCTGGCCTAGGACCCCAGAAACTCCACACCTACCATATGGATTCCCTTGATCTGCTTTCAACTCCAAGTCCCAGTCCTCATTAAAAAGATCAGCAGCCTGTTCCTTGGGCGGACAGCTAGACACTCCTTCTGACAGTTCCCAGGTATTCAGCTCCCCATCAGAATCCTCATCATCCACAGCAAAGGCTTCCTCTTCAGAATGGATGCCCTCACCACCGGCAGGACTATCATTAGGGATGCTCTGTGCTCCACTGGCTAAGAAATCAACAAAAGGGGGTCTTAATACAACTGACAAACCAGATACGGCCTTCTCATGTGCTTGGAAAATTTGGGGCAGACTTACTAAGAGGGCAGTAGTAAAACAAGTGTACAGAGTCTTTAGCTACTTGAACACTTCAAAAAATAATGTTCTGTTGACAATTTTAGAACTAGGGTTGATCAATTATTTTCAATAAAACAGTTTGCCTTTAAAAAAAAAAAAAAATTTGATTAGTTACCAGGTCTTCTAATAGGGAGCCAGGCATAGTTTATATTTTCAGGTAGTTTATATGTCATTGAAGCAAATGATAAACTTTCACAATACGGGTGTGAATTGAATTTTTGCTCTTCTATTCCTCCCTACATCCTCAAAGAGCATGTTAGATAGAGATGAGCACAGGACAAGGTGGGTGTGGGAGGAAAGAGCAGAACCCCCCTAGTCATAATAGACAGACACCACGTCTCTCCTCCTGACATCAGGGAAGGCTGGAAGGTACACTTTCAAAAGGTCTCAAAATAATGGAAGAAAGTTTGGGAAGGATAATGGATCTCTAAGCATGCAGTGCTATGGTGATGCCAGGTCAGAGTTGGGAAAGAGATCAGCCTGCAAACAGCCATGCTCTTAAAACTATATAATGATGATAGCTATAAGCAATAAACAGTTCAGGGCATGGGTTCTGAAGCCAAACTGCCTGGGTCCAAATCCCAGGTCTGCCAATTACTAAATGTGTGACAGAGCTGAAATGTACTCAACCGATTTCAATTCTTCAATAGTTTGAATGTAGAATTACCACATAACCCACTCCTAAATGTATACCTAAAAGAACTAGAAACAGGTGTTCAGACAAAACTTGTACAAAAAATGTTCATAGCAGCACTATTTGCACTCACCAAAAAGTGGAAATAAACCCAAATGCCTATCAACTGATGAATGGATGAACAAAATTAGGTATATACATATGATGGAATTATTCAGCCATAAAAAGAGATGAAGTACAGGCATACTTTGTTTTAATGCACTTTCCTTTCTTGCACTTCACAGATGTGTTTTTTACAAATTGAAGGCAAGACTATTAACAAAAAGATTAGGGTTTGTTTATTGTGACACTTGCTTTATTTTGGTAGTCTGGAACTGAACACACTATCTGCAAGGTATGCCTGTACTAATACATGTGACATGAATGAATTTTGAAAATATCATGCTGAGTCAAAGAAGCCAGACATAAAAGGCCACATAGTGCATTATTCCATTTATATGCAACTCACATTTGCCTGTCCAGCATAGGTAAATCCATAGAAACAGAAAGCAGATTAGTGGTCACCAAGGACACAAGGAAATGGGGAATGGGGTCTGACTACTCACTGGGAACAGGTTTCCTTTTGGATGATGAAAATGTTCTGGAACTAAATAGTGGCGGTGGTTACATAACACTGATTATGCTGACACTGAACTGTAAGCTTTAAAATTGTTAAATGGTAAATTTTATGTTATGTATCTTTTACCACAATTTAAAAAAATTGTTTACTCTGTGCCTCAGTTTCCTCATCTGCAAAATAGAAACAGGCTTGTGGTAAGAGTTTTTGAAAAAGAAGAAAGAAACTTAGAATTGTGCCTGGCACATAGTGAGTTCTCAGTAAGTGTCAGTTGTTACGACTATACTTATGTGCTCGGTGCTTTATCTAGACCAACACTATGCAAAAGAACTTTCTGTAATGATGGTAACATTCTATAATCTGTGCTGTCTAGCAGGCTAGTGTTAGCCACGTGTAATTACTGGGCACTTGCAACGTGGCTAGTGCAACTAAAGGTCTGAATTTTTCATTTTCTTATAATTAGCTTAAACTTAAATAGCACCAGTAGCTAGTGGCAATTATAGTTCTAGATCTCCTCGCCCAATCTTCAGAACAACCCTCTGAGGTATTATTATTCTCATTTTTAAAAAAGAGAAAGGATAAGTGATTTATCTGAGACCACAAAACTTGAGCCCAGGACTCTGACCCAGTGCTGAAAGTGAAAACAATTTTGCCTGGCTCCGAAACCTGTATTCTTCCACTGTCCCAAGCTGTCTTTCTCAGTAGAAGGGATGGATTTGAATACAACCGCAGGACTTAACCCTTAAGGAAGCTCCGGCAGGCTTCCAAACAAGGGCACTTTTGAAACACTAGGCCAAAAAGGCAACTCAGCAGCTAAGGGGAGGATTGGCTAGAAAGAGAAGGTAACAAGACAAAGGGACTGTCCTCTTGTTGTTGTCTTGTTCTCTCCCAACATCCATTCGTCTCTGCCATCTACTCGCCTAGTCGATCCGTGGCCTTCTCAATCTCTCTCTCCTGACCGGAGTGGTCATTTGGGGCAAAGCCGGCCTGCGGGAGGAAGAAACAGTTACCCAGGACTTGGATATCTAGTGTATCCCCAGTATTTAGCTCTTTTCTCTCAGCCACAACCCCCTACCCCCTCCATACTCCCCTTTGTGAGTGGGGCTGGGACTCTGCAACCTACATTTGTGCTTTGCCCTATAAGACTCAATAAGGCTAGAGGGAGAGGGCCTTGCTCCTTCCTATCCCTGTAGGCATCATCCCAGTGACACTTCACCCCTGGCATGAGCGTCTTCCTATACGGACCACCGAATCCAGCTTCTAGGTTTTCAACACCTGCAGATGTCACCCAGCCCTCTCTTCAGGTCTGACTCCCAGGCTCTCAGACCCCTCCTCCAAGCTCTGAGACCCAAACACCAGCTGGGGCAGCGCCCTCTCCTTAGAAGTTAGAATTTCAGCTCTGTAAAGCCTCACCTCTGAGCTTGTATATTTTAACCATTCCAACCTCATCCCTTTATTCCCTCAGCACCAGGGTTGGTAGCTGTTTCCTGCAGTTGCTACCTCCATGTTCATTTTTAACTTTTCATTTAGCGTTTTACCTAGTTAAGAGCTCTATCAAGTTCCGTCTCCTGACTGACACACAGGGGAAACAGAGCTTTAGTTTCTCTGCAGTGTTGAGGGAAATCTTCCCCTACAACCAACCATATGTCAACATCTCTGCTCTCATCACTCAAAAGTTCCTGAAATCCTGTCACCTGTAAGACCCCTTTCTATACAGACCAAGAAATGTTCACAGCCTGCATGAGAAGGCCTGATTTCAATCCCAGCTCTGCCATTCATTCAGTGTGACTTTGAACACGTCACTTCAACCACTGTGCCTTCTCTGGAAATTGAGAATGATTGTTCTGACCTTGCAGGGGACTTACAATAACATTTATGAAAACACCTAGCACATAGCAGGCATGTATCATTTATTAAGTTTAAATTCACCTTCTTTGACTCTGCATCTAAACTGCACTTTGCACCTGCCCCAATTAGCTTATGATCTAGTCATACCTGCATTTAAAGCATCAATTCCACTTCCTGTAGGCATTGATAACCCTTGGTTACTATGGCAGACCAGCTGGTGGGACCTCTCACTTTGACCACTGCCATAGTCTTTTAACTGCCTCCCACTCACCCATCCTGCCCACCCTTACAGTGTTAATCACTACTCTCTTCAAAAATCTCCACTGCTGGAGCACAAAATTAGCCATGGCACTCACACCTCCCCCTCACAACCCATCAACCTGTTGAGTATAGTTCTCCCTCCCAGCTCTGCGACCCCAGTTCCCAGGCATTTGCCCTGCACTTCAACATCTCCATGCCTTTGCAGGCACTACGGCCCTCTCACCTTGGAGAGGAAGCGCACATCCCTTCCTGCTATGCCCTGACAAAGCTAGTCTCATCCTATCTGCACTCCAATGTAATTTTCTTTATAAGTCTATCACTACAACCTTCTTACTTTTCCTCATGTAGCATCTTTGATGCTTAAGCATGTCATTCCTCCAACCAATTAATAAGCTTGTCCACCGTGCCAGGCACTATGCTGTGCCAGGTTAACAGCAGTAAACAGACGGTCCCTACACTCAAGGAGCTCATCATCTAGCAGAGATTACTGACTATAAACAATGCAGGTGATGACTGTAATAAGTCTTTGAAAAAACCAGGAGCTGTCTGGCGCGCAAACGAAAACGAGTTTATGGAAACCATGCGTCAAACCGTGCTTTTAGATTTCATTAAATAGAAAAGGCGAGAAAGCATGAGATATCATCTGGTGCTCAGGGTTAGCTGAGCATACCAGCCAATGGACATAGGTCCTTTCTGGAAAGTCGCTCTCCTCACCGCCCTAATCTGGCCCCTGTCCAGGCCCCTCGCAGCGGCCCCCAACTCTCGGTCACCAGTATCACCTCTCATTTAGCCAATACGCAGAGGAAACCCCCAAGGGCTGACAGCCTTCCTTCCCCGCCCGGCGCGTCCACCCACACTTTCGAGGTGCCCCACCCCGCAGCCCCGCAAGCCGCGGCCCCTAGGCCCGGCCGTTTCCATCTCTAGCACGCGCCCAAACGGCGCTCCACGTTCGCTGGGCGGCCCGAGGCGGGCCCGAGGCGCCTCCTCCGCTCCGCGGCCCCCGCAACTTCCCAACCCAGGCTGCAGGTGGTGGCCGCGCCCAGACCCAGCGCGGTGCTCACCCCCGGGCTGGGGGGCAACCCCCGCGTGCTCGCCAGCGGCGGACCCCGAAGAGGCTCTGCGGGCCCTGGCGCCTGGGCCCCCGCGATCTGAGGGTCCATGCCTGGCCCCGCGGCCCGCGGCTCGGCGCCCTGGACGCTGCTCCGCCACGTGATGCGCCGGCCGCACTGCCAGCCTGAGGATACGCCGCAGAGGGGCCAATCAGCCGGGGGTGTTCCCGGCCGAGGGGGAGGGACGCGGGGGTCACGAGGAAAACGGGGGCGGGGCGGCGCAGGAGGGGCGGAGCGCGCCCAACAGCGAAAGCCCACCCACCGATCTCAAAGCTGATTCTTGCAGCTTCTGGCAATGCGAGTCCCAGGGTCTGGAATGCCAAGTATTATCTCTGCCCAGCCTCAAAACCTCCAATTCCTGTTATCCGCGTCAACCTGGGTAAGGCTCAGCTCTCAAAACTTCTAATGCAACTATAGTTCTAACATTTCACTGTCGATCTCCTCACAGATTTCTCTAGAAATCAGGCTGGAATTGGATTATAACTTACCCACAGAGGAATGCGACAACTCGGAAAGCGGCTCGGTGATTCTCCACCCTGAGTTGATAATAGTTCTTAAAGTTAATCCATTAGAAACTAGGACAGATCAAAACAAACTCCTACAATCACAATATGCTGGACACCGTATAGGCTATGACACTTAGTCACAGCACATTCTGTGCTGACAGTAGTCCGATCTGGGAAAAGATACCTTTTAATGCCCGACGTCTGGCCCTCTACAGCCTGAAGGTGGCAGAAGACAGGCAGAGACAGCCTTCACTGCCTTTCCATTCCCTAAACTCTAATTAAACAAACCGGCTCAAAGTGTGATAATCATCTTAACATTTAAGTAGCAGAAAAGATGGAAGCTGGGATTCCTTGCTCACCAGTCCACCTTATGACAATGCTTGGGAGACTAAAGAGTGTCCATCTCCTTCAAAGACTTTGTTTATAAACTATGTATTTGAAAAAATTTAGTCTTACGTCTATATTTGTTGATATATATTTTTTTTTCTCTATGTAGACTTTTCTACGGGGAAAAAAATGTGATCCATTAATGTGTGCTCTGATCCATGAATCAGTTTCCTCAAATCTAATTGGATCTATCTAGGTCAACATTGTCCCACAGAACCTTCTGGGATGGTGGTAATAAAAGTTCTAATATCTGTGCTGTCTAATATGGTAAATATGTGGCTATTAAGCTCTTAAAATGTGGCCAGCATAAATGAGAAATTGAATTAATTTAAATTGCCATATGTAGTTAGAAACTACCATATCTAACAGTGCGGCTCTAGATGAACTAGCTAAATGCATTTTCATAACCTGCAATGATGAGAACCAGATAACCCCAGGGAGACCTACCATCCATAGCCTTGCTACAAGAAGCCAACCACCACCCTCTTTGCTATCATCTTACATGCAACATATATCTCTTTCCCAAAAGATAAACACCATGTAAAGATTTAAAATGTTAAACTTCCCAGGACTGAATGGAGAGGGAAGAGGAAATTTTTCTTATTTTTAAACAAACGACAAGAAAGTATTTAGAGGACAAAAGCTCAAAATGAAAATGCCCTAAAACACTCTAATATTTGTAGGAATTTAATATATAATAAAAGTAGTATCACAAATTAGCAGAGAAAAAAATGGCTACAAATGGTGTTGTGAAAAATTTAGTTAACCTTGGGGGAAAAAAACTGAGTTGTCCTTGGCAAGAGAGTTTCAACAACAGAAATCACACACACACACACACGCACGTCAAAAACATACACAAAAAAAACTGGGGGCAAATTATTTGCAATAAAGGAGAGACAAACTAAAGATTAATATTCTTAATATAAAAACTCTTATAATTTAGTAAGAAATGAGTTCAATAAACAATCAAAAAACATGGAAAGACAAGAGAACCAGGAAAAACACATTAATGTCATTAATGTCAAAAGATGCACATTAAAACAATGACATCACTTTTCACCTATTAAAATGATAAAAATAAAAAATATAATATCCACTGCAGGTGAAGGTGTTGACATTTTCATATATTGCTTAAAAGTATTTTCATATGTTGCAAAGTGACAATATATATCAATATTCCTTTAAACAGTTAAATCCTTTAATCCAATTCTGTCAGATGTCAATCTCCTAAAGAAAGAACCCGAGATGGGAACAAAAATTTACAAGAAACTTCATCAACAGCATTTATAATGAGAAAAAACTGGACGTGACAAGGTCTAACCACAGGTAATTAGTAAAATAAGTATGGCTCATCTACCCAATTGAATGTTATAAATTCATCAAATGTTTTTAAGGCTATTTTAATGACATGGTAAATAACAGAATATTAAGTGAAACACAAGTAAACTGTACTAAATGCTTCTCCCAGTAGCATCATAATGTTAAGTATACAAAATTCAGACAGCTCCCTCTCCCACTCCCAGAATGCCTTTCTCTGCTCCTAGCCATGCTCCATCATCACCTCTGAAGTCCTTCTCCGCTGCTCTAATCTACTCCCTATTCCTGCCCTTCTTTTGTTGCCAGTCCCCCTCACTATAAACACTTCTCTGCAGATCAGTCCCAGAGATAGAAAACACTTTTATAATGTCTTAATCTTCTTAAAGGATTTTTTTCCCCAATACCCAGCATCCTCTCCCGCTGGTTTTAGGACATCCAGCGTTCAGGACATCCAGCTGTTCCTCCAACCCCTGCCTTCATCTCAAAGACTTTCCCTTCTTTCCTGCTTATGATGGGCACTCAATGAATGAGTGACTAAATGATTTAACAGGATAAATCCAATCCTGATAAAGGAAGTCAAATTACTGAGTTTAACTCCAGATGATATCACAGAATGCTTTTATTTTCTTCTAACTATTCTACACTCACCACATTTTCTACAACAAATGTATATAATAAGGAGAGAATAAACAAACAGAACTGTACTTTTTCCTCCACTTTAACCAGCCCCTACATCTAGAGATATCTGTCCTTGACCAGAGGGTAATAAAAGAAACTCAGCTGTATGATTTCCACATATTTTGGAAAACATTTAGGACTTCTAATAGATCCAGCCTCAACAAATAGCCTCTGGACACTAAACAGCAGTTCTCCTTTCTGGAATTAAAGATTAACACATTAACAGAATTAAAGCATGTCTCAAAATCAGCCAGCCATCTCTCAGCAAATTGCAGATGAACTCAACATAAATCTACCAGAAGGCTTACAATACTATTTCACAAAGTTAGCTGTATTCTTCCACTTTTCACAAATGGCCAGCTTGATGCATAGCATGTTTAGCTACAAACACCTCTGCTGACTCTCCCTGCAGCATTTTCATGGCTCGCCAATAGATCTGTCCGCAGTTCTCAGGTCTACCAAGGGGATGGTTCAATTCTTCTTTGATGTAATCTATCCAAAGATCTTTAAAGGGAACCAAAAAATTACTGTAAACATACAATTAGATAACTGATAAGGCTTTATTAGGTAAACGTAATTATTTAATACCTATAAAATACCAGATTTCTAAGAAACTTAACTTCTTCTTTCCATAGAACCCTATGAGAAACAATACCTCTCTCAGCTTCCTTACACTGAGGTATATCAAAACTACTTTTTTAAAGTAGAAAACTTTATTCTAATTATGATAATTTACATTTTACAGACTCAAAAATACTAAGTATTTTAGAAGAAGGATTTTGCTGAGTCTCTTTCTAGGTGAAACTGACCTTAATGAGTTCACCATAACCTTGTGACCGTGCTTAATAAAACTTGCTTGAATTAGTAAAAATGCCATTTTCACTCATTTCATCAGTGAAGATCTGTTTTCTAAATGTGGCTTTAACAATTACACATGTCAGTTTTTGAGACCCTAAGTAAACAGATTTTACATGACATACCTACACCCACAAGTATGTTTTACAAGTCTTATAAATGAAGACAATGTGGCAACAGCCAATGACAACGAACGTCAATTAGCATCCCACTGCCCCTTTGCTGTAACTCCTACTCCTTTTTGTTCTGACCTACACTATTAACCCTACCCTTACAAATACATTTTTTACAGAGAACCAAACAACTCTTTCTCTAATCAAG